AATGACATGAAGTTTCGCATACATGGGTACATGTATACAAACACATACAAACATATACATACAAACACATACAAACAAACACACATACAAACACACACAAACAAACAAACTCGCATTGCATAACACAAACGAACACACTTTCATACATACACACGTCACATTTTTAATGCCCAGAAGTCATATGTGTATATTTACATATGACTGACTTGTATTTGACATCTCATATATACATACTTATGTGTATGTATATTTGTATGCATGTATACAGGCATGTATGTTTATGTATACATGTGTATATGTGGTATGTATGTATTAATACATATACAGTTTTATCAGTGTTTGAAAGGCGTATTTAAACGAATGTGAGTTCATCATCTCTTGATTTTCTTTAATAACTAATATCTTGTAATTGTTTAGTTATTTTACGTACGTGTGTTTGTACGTGTGTACGTATGTTTGTTTGTTTGTTTGTTTGTTTTACCATGTGTACATATAGATATTTATAGTGTTATATACATGTATATACAGATATGCAAACAATTGATGTAATGAAATGTAATGTTTCTAATGTGATCAGATGCTATTGTTAGGTCGTTACAGTTAGCTAATTACTTTAATTATTATTAGATGTGTTAATTATTCAGTATAGTTTCGGTATTGAATTTTTCGGTATCGTCTCGATATAGGTATCGAATTAAAGTCCGTTGTGTAGTCATCAATATCGAGTCTAATATTATATAACAAGAGTTAAGCTAATTTGAGGTGATTTTATCATCATCATCATCATAAAGATCATCACCATAAAGATCATCATCACCATCGTAATCTCATTACTCTCATCATCATCATCATCATCGTCATCATCATCGTCATCATCATCATCATCCCCACGTTCATCATCATCATCATCATAATTGTTATAATTACCGGCGATGTCACAAACGAATACAAGCGATCAAAACCGCCTAGCAATACCGACTATCGTCTTTCCTCACGGCCACAACAACAACAACAACAACGTTAATAGGAATACTGAAATCGATACCGACGAAATTTTAAGGCGAACTCGGTGTCGGAGCGGCGGTATAAATAATTTTGCCTTCGCTAGTGACGATGAAGAAGCCAGTAGTCTCGACCAGAAGTCCGTACAACCTTTTGCAATATTAAAGGCCGAAGTGAGGAACCTATATTGATGATGATGGTGACGATAATGATGACGATGATGACGACGACGATGATAATGATGATAATGATGATGATGACGATAATGATGAAGATAATGACGATGATGATGATAATGATGACGAGGATGATGATGATAATGATGATGACGACGACGATGATGATGGCGTTTTATTTTTTTTTGATGATCCAAATGTTGTTGTCGCCACCTATGATTGGACAAGACTTTGACGGAAAATAATAATAACAATAAAAGCAATAACAGTAATAATAATAATATTATTGATAATAATAATAAATTTTAATGTTATTATTATTATTATTACACTAGTAATTTTAGGATATTCAAGATACTATTGTTTATTTGCTTTAGAGTTAGGAGCAAATAAACGCATATTGAAATGCTTAATACGCCCGTAGGTAAGAAATTATTATTAAAATCATGATGATGATGATGATGACGACGACGATGATGATGACGATGATGATGATAATGATGATGAAGAAGATGATGATGAAGAAGATGATGATGATGACGATGGTGAGTGTGAAGATGATGACGTTGATTTCAGCTATCTTAAAAGCTAGGTGTTAAAATCCTAGAAAACTAATAACATCAACATCAAAAGATGATGATAATAACAATAATAAAAATAATAATATAATAAAAATAATAATATAATATAATAATAATAAAATCGTGATATATACAGAATTTTTTAGAAGTTTTTGCATTTGAAATATTTGGAAATGCTGTTTTGGATGGATGTGTTAAAATTATACTCAAGTATACACTTTGCGATAATTATTATTGTTATTACTATAAATATTGTTATAATAATTATTATTACTATTGTTATTATTATTATTATTGTTAGACACTTGTATTTTCACAATATTATCTTCCGTTGTGCCTATTTTACAACAACATATAGGAATGCCATTACTAATATTTGTTTGTATGATTAATTAATTATATTAATTAATAATAATAAATAAAATTATAATATATTATAATCAATCAATCAATCAATCAATCAACCAATCAATCAACCAATCAACCAATTAATCAATCAACCAATCACACACTCAACTGACCAATTACAGAGCAAGCCCCAGAAGAAAGCCCCGACCCCGAAATGGCAGAAACAGCTGAGTACCTTTCACACTGGCATCAGCCATCAGAAGTTCAACGAACAGCAAAAGAAGACTTTGAGGTCTTACAGCAGCGCCAACTACGTGCCAGCTCACAGTCTCACATACGTCAAATGGATGAAGATTCATCGCGGGAGGTAGGCCATGTTGTTGATGATGATGATAAAAGTTGTGATAGTGATGCTGATGATGATGGTTGTGATAGTGATGTTGATGCTGATCATGGTGATAGCTGTGAATTTTTTTTGTTTAAACCATTCAAAAATGAATCCGAACAATCCACCTTCCGATCGAAAATGATGACCACCAATCAATCAACCAATCGCAGAACATTCATCCATCCGATTTTTGACCAATCAGAATCATCCTTAATCCACATCAACCAATCAAAAGTGTCATAGCTCGCCTCGACCTTGACCGATGGTTTTTGATACTTCTGATTGGCGTCTGCGTTGGGTTGCTGGCCACGCTGTTGAAGCAGTGCATCCAAGGTCTAAGCACCTGGCAGTGGAAAACTACCAGGAATCACATGACCGTTAGTTATGATGATGATGGTGACGACGACGATGGTAATGATGATGGTGACGACGATGATGATGACGACGTCATTTTTACAAAACCTAGGAGCAGAACATCGGCGTAGCGTTCGTGTACCTCGCTGGGACGAACGTCATCATGGTCCTCGTCGGAGCTGTCATCGTGACGGTACGTTCGCCATGATGACGTCACATTTGATGAC